TCTCTTTTATTCAGAAAAGAAAAAACCTAAAGTAGATCTTGATGGGCTTGGCAAGGGTTTCTTCAAGATTGAGCAGTGCTAGGAATGACACTAGAGGCTTCTCCTATTGTGCAGTGGAAAAATTCCACTGCCCAGATTCCACTACTTTCTGTATTTGTATAAAATACTGACAGAATTTGAACAGGTTCCTTTCTCCTTTTGCCAATTACATTTCTTGTTTTGGTTTGGTTTTTACCTTTATTTTGTAGCTTTAGTCAGAACATTCTTTTGGGGGGTGGTGCAAGTGCAGTAGCTGTGTTACAACTATCAAAACGGCCCTTAAAGTGGTGGTGATAGATTACTGCTGTGTTGCTGACCTTCAGCTCTGGCCTTTTTAAACTGCACTCTTGAAAAATGGCAGGAAATTGGAAACTTTTTTCCTGTAAACATTCTCCAAGTGTGAAGTTCCCTTTTCTGCACTGAGTTTCAGCTGTAACAGATAATCATTGCTTCAAACCAGAAGGCTTTTACTTAAGGAGATTGCTTGATGGAACCACATGGGTTTGTCAGCTGTATATTACTCTTGGAAGAAAAGTCTTCTGAAAGCCTGTGTCTGAAAGTCTGAAAGAGTTTGTGAAGCACAATGTGACATCAGATTGACTTTTACTAAGTTTACAGTGACTGCACTCTTGGAGAAGGATGGCTAAGTCTTTTTTTTTTCTTTTTCCGTACTTTTTGGGGAATTTTCAACCATCGATCTACTTCATTCTTTTGTAATTAAATCTTTTGCTTTGTGCTCTCAAAGTCTTCTGCTGAAGCAAGCTTTTGGTGGTGTAGAGATCTGAACTGGAATTTGTCTTTGGGTTTTCTTCTGGAAATGTTGCCATGTTGGGATAGTCAGCAGTCTTTGAAACCTGTTCAGCATGGTTATCCTACAGATGCATTTTTTTCAGACTGTGCAGATATGACACTGCTTCTGATATGGGCAATTGTAGTTGCAGAAATTTGTTTTATTTTATCTGTTCTGATTTCAAAATTAAAATAGCATAATTGGTCACAAATGCACGTAATTCATCCACATTCAGGAAGTTAGAAAGACTTGTTATGTGTATGGCACTGGTAAACTAGCAACATTACAACCAGAATACCTTGTTATCCTGGAATGTGACATTAGTATACGGACAGCAGTGTCCTGTTTCAGTGGTGGAGAGCTTGGTAGGGTTGTTTGAATTGTTTGAATTTGAGAATGGCCTTTTAAAACTACTATTTACATGATAGAGATGAAATGCTGCAGTGTAGTTCTAAACAGTTACAGAACAGTTTTGCCCCAGACAATGGAGCAGTCACCATCTGTGATGCTGGCCATCTCTTAGGTTAGAAGTCTGTGCTCTATTAAACTGCAGTTGGATCGTCAGGGCAAGCAATTGCTCAATGTTAATCAGCCTAGTGTTACTGCCTGATAACAGTAATTTCATCCAAAAGCTTGTTTAAAAGCTTAATTCATGTTTTATTATAGTAAAAAATGACCATTTCAGTGAAGTTTGGCAGGCTTCTAGGTCATTCAGAATTTATCACCTAGAGAAGGATCAACTAATACACAGACTTCAGATTAGAAGTTCTTGTGCCTTTAGTCAGGAGTTGAGCTGATTACTATAAGCCTGCTTATAATTTAAGGAATCCTTTGAATGTTAGGCTATAGAAATAATAAATGGATTGGTTTTGTTCAGCCTTAGTGTCTGAAGATCCATAGGCACTGGGAGCAGAGTCCCATCAAGACAACACACTGTATTGTTTGGAAGGTGTTCTATACAAATATTCATTTATAGTTATTGTTTTGCCTTAAGAGCAAAATGTGTTCACAGTGAGTCCTGGCATATATAGGTGCAGGCTTCTGGGCCATCAGTAAGATTCAAATCATCCACGACTTGGCAAAGCCATGGTCAAAGCTGATGGAAGAGGTGAGCTAGCCTGAGCTTTCAAAAGGGTTGTTCAGCAGAAGGGGTGATGTGGAAACAACAGAGAAGACCCTCACATTGGTTCTTGAACACATTGTCTCATGTTTAGTTTGAAACTTAGCACTGCTTGGCTCTTGCTTAACCCTTTGTACTTTCTTTTAGCCCAAACTGGTTTGTGCCTGTGTTACTACAGCAGTGTAAAGCAACTGCTTGAAAAAAACAGGCTTCACAGAGGTAGAAAGACTGTTCACCAAGAGTAGACAAGTAAAAAGCATTCAGCCTTTGGTCACTGATATTTTATTGAATTCCCGAGTCCGCAAACGCGCGGCATGGCTAGCGTTCGCTGCCGATGGCTTAGCAGGGTAACCACACTTTCTGCCAGAATTAGCTATGTGGTGAAGATCTGAGCTCAACAGCTTCATACAGTGGTTTTAAGAAGTTCTGCAAGTATAGGCTGTTTCTTCCTGTAACCATAGCTGTGACTCCTGGCAGCGGCAAACAAGATGAGTAAACCCCTTCTCATCACTAAAGCTGGCTGAAGTTTTTAAGCCTCTGTTTTGATGTTGAACATGTACAATTTTCTTGGCCTTTAAAGGATGCTGTGGGCGCTCCACATGGTGGAAGTTGATTTAAGTAACTTAAGAGAAAATGCTGCAGCTTTGGGCTCCGGAGCTTGGCACCTTGTTCAGTTTAGCTGCTTCCTCTCTTCCCTCAGACAACTCAGTAGCAGATCTGGGCAAGCATGTCCTATTTCCAATTTAATTTTAATCTAAAACCCATTTTTAAGCAACCATATTACTTCTACTGACAAGTGATCTGTGGAAGAATAATCTTACATGAATGCTTCTTGCTGGTGTCTGAAAAATGGAAAAAATAAGGCTAGGGCTGTGCAAGCAAAGAGTCTGGCTTGGATAGCTGTGTTAGAGGGAGGACTGCAGCACCCTTTTTGATGCTTGTCAGGAAATACTGTAAGGACACAAATTTTAGCAGCACAGGGAGGTCTCTGAGATTAGATCTAAGCAAAAAAAGTGCTGAAGAAATAGGCAGGACAGACCCAGGGTGGGAGAGTTGATGTGATGCGGCCAAATGCAGTTGCGTGTGCTTGGCTGTGCCTTTGACAAGTGACAGTCAGAAGTTGCCACAAGGTCTTCTGGGTCTCTTCCAGCCATAGATAAAGGTGTCCCCAATATTGCAGGTGGCTTTGGAGTCTGTCAGTACCATGTCAGAAGTGCTGCTTAGGGTTACACTGATGTCATTCTCCAGGAAAATACTGGATGATCTGCTCAGTGAAATATTGAGGCTTTTTGGTTTACAGCCGCTCATTCTTCCTTGCTATGTGGAGAGTTATTAATTTAGTGAGGAAAATTGTTAAAATATTGTCCATTCGCACAGAGCTGGACGGGGAGAGGGAGCTCAGGACATGGGAGCAGTCTGACATTGCAGTCCCCAAAGCCTCACTTAATCTGGCAGTTGGCCCCTTTGCGTGTCCCTGCTGCTTGCTCCTGCCAGCCACCTCCCCTGTGCTGGCCCAAGTGTTTGTACAGTTTCCTGGAGAGTCACCTCAGGGAACTGCTCAGGCTAAAATTGTGTATGTCTGAACCCAGCAAGGTCAGAGCCAGCACGAGGAGACGGGAGCGAACACCAGGTGAAGAAGAAAGCGGAGACTGGGCAGATCTGTGCTGGGTTTAAGTGGCACAGTAACTAGAGCAGCGTGCTCCAGGGGCTGAACGATTCCTTGTTAGCCATGTGCGCCTTCACGCGGTTTAATTTTTAGCTGTTGTAGCATCTGCTGTCGCTGCAGTTCCTGGCTGGCTCGGTGTCCTTGGAGGTGTGGGGGACTTGGGGCACAGTCGCACTCCCCTGGCATCTCGCTGTGCGAGAGGTGCATGGTGACAAATGAGCAGGGCAGGGTAATTCTGCTGTTTCTTGGAGGAGGTGAAGGCCAGTTCCTCTGCTGAGCAGAAGGCTTTTTTGCCTATTTATACTGGTTGGCAGGAAGTAGACTTGATACCTAAAATTTGATGATTTTTCTTTTTTTTTTTTTCTTCCTTGAAAGTGTTAATATAAACATCAGCCTAAAGCAGCTAGTTGAGATGTGCTGGGTTTAGGGACAACCAGGCTGTTGATGTATAAATGCTACTGTGTGAATGACACAGGGAGGCTTCTCAAATCCCTCTTATTTTTATGCTGATTTTGAAGTGACTTTTAATCCTTGGTCTCTAAACACTTTATCAAAGAGGGGAAAAACCTAACTCAAGCAGTTTGGGTAATAATAGTACTTAGTGCTTAACGAACGTTGTGGAATTAATCCCTCTGGACCAATAAATTTAAATTGTGTTGATCTTGGCAGGGGACCAGGGTAGTGATGTGAAATCAGCTTTATTCCAGGCATGGAGGAGCTGTTCCCTTGCTGTGGCTCCACCACAGCCAGTGGAGATGGAATTTGTGAACCTGTGAAGTCTGGGTTCAAGCTGAGCCCTGCATTTCAGTTATCTTCCTCTGCCCTCACTGCACTGGGAATCAGATGTTGTCCTCCAGGCCCAGTCAGATGTGCCAAGGAGCAGTGGGGATTAGATCTCCTTGGTTCTGGTGAAGAGTCTGTTCTAGGGTGATGGCTTAGGGCCAGGGAGATCCTTTTGATTCCCTGTCTTGTTCCCTCCCATGTGCTGTCCCTTGGACTTAGTGAGATGTTCCACATCTCTGGGCCAGACCTGTTAGTCTGCCATCCTGTTACATGGAGAAGTCTTCTGGCTCTCCCCGTTGATTCAAACAAGACTGAGTAATATAAATAATAAATCTCCTGTTAAGAGAAAAGGTTTCAAGATGGCCACAGTCCCTTGGGTGGCCATGGCCTTTGCACTGATGTGCAGGCTCCCAGAATCAAATGTGGGTGGACACTGACATCTTGTTGGTAGTGTCACCTTCGGGCCACTGGGCAAGAGCAGCATTGAGACTGTGATGCTTAAATATTGTGTACCGATTGCTATGTTTTATGTATCAGTTATTGCAGGTTAAAAACAATTGTTTGATTTTTTTTTTTTTTTAAATTTTATTTTTTATTTTCAGGTTACAAACTGATTGGAAGCCATTCTGGGGTGAAGCTCTGCCGATGGACGAAGGTATGCTCTCTTTTCTCATCTTAGAAATTAAAAAACCCCAACAAACTAGAGACTTAAGTGTTACAATTTCCAGATGAAATATTCTTTTAAGACGTGATATTACTTGCATGAAAACAAATTTCACCTTCCTAGCTGTAGCTTTGCATTTCAAGCTATTAAAATCCTGTTGCGAAGAGGGAGAATGCGACCACGGCAAAGAGCTGGGAGCATAATTTTCTGTTGTTTTTTCGTTACTCTCCTGTCTGCTAAAATATCTCCTGCCTGCTGAAATATATGGCAGGAGCAGAACACCGCGGAGAAAAGTAGGAAGGTTATGTCACTAGTGTGAGGTCTTCTGAAACAAAGATAACACAGTCCATCATTACACTCGAATGGGCACACAAGGGCATTTGAACCTGTTGTTCTGTGATGGATATATCTGGTTCACGATGGGCGGTGCTCCTCTGTTGGCTTTCAGCATTTGGCAAGTAAGATTTGGATAGTGAGGCAGCTGTCACTTGTTAATGCTAGGACTTCTTAAAAGTTACTGTAGGGGTGTGTGTGTGCATGTATGTAGTTGTGTATAATATGTCTCTCTGTGTGTATATACACATATAGGTGGAAATGTCATCCTCTAAGCTTTGCAGTTGTGTGTTATAGGCTATGTAAACCAGTAGCTTTTCAAGTAGTTTGCAGAATTAAAAACTTTCCCAGCAGAGGCACAGAGCCTTGTAGAACAAACTTCAGCCACTTCAATATGTTTGTTTTTTTGGTTGTCCTTTGCAGGTCCACGAGAAGCTAGGAAGTTGAAAGGTGGTCTGTAACATTACTCCCCAAATCTATAACGCTGGTATAACATGCTAAAGCCTTCAGCGTTCATGGGATGATGAACTATGGGCATCACCACCTCATTAAAATGACAGCACATCTCTTAATTCTTGTGCTGTGGCAGTGATCAGTTCCTTGGTCTCTCAGCTCTTTTTTGCTGCATGATTAACTTTGTTTATTTTGAAAAGAGCTCTCTGATTGACAGTCACCAAAGTGGGTGGCTGCAGTGAGGTTTTCTTATTGAAATGCCTGGTATCAATGACCTGTTTCATCAAAAGATGTGTTCTTGTGAACAGTTTAAAGAGTCACCACTGTATTGTCATGAATATTTGGGACGTACTTACCTCACTGATGCTTCTGCTGTTTACTCGTAAAATATTTCTCTTCTATCATTTTTAGCATCAGAGAAGGCCATGAAATCTTTAAAGAAAAAGTTGTCAAACTTCATCCATGGTGTGACTGAGAGAGAAACCCAGAGAACCTATTTTTATTAAAGAACTGGAATTTAATGCAGCACTGTAAAGCCATTTCACAAAATAAATAGCAGCTCTGTGTGCTTAGATAGGACCATACTATTTTTAGCTTAAACAGGAATTGAATGTAAAGTGTTCTAATAAATTGAGCTGAAATTGGTTACAGACAGTGGCTTTGACTCTGATTCACACCAATATGTGAGTATCTTCAGGAGGCTGGTTTGAGATTTGTATCAGCAGAAAGCAGGAGCAGGGCTAGGAGGATTAGTATTAAGTAGAGTTTCATAGTGATATCGCAGATTAAAATTATTGTGTTCTGGCATATTCTGGAAAGGAGTATAAAACCTGCTGATTTGCCTGTCTTATAAAATCCAAAATGTAACTTGCTCTCCTAGAATTTGTGAGTTTCCTGATATCTCTATTGTTTGAGGAATGGGTAGAATAAACAGCATTTTCCGTTTTGTTTAATCTTCCAACTGTATAACCAGACTGTGCATATGTTAGGGGTTACCTGTTATATCCTTTCCCTGCTGCTTAGGGGAGACTTTCTTTTGGATCACCAGGTAGAGAAAGGCAGATTACAAGTTACTGTGTCATATTTCAGATTTTCTCTTGAGAGTAGTAAAGATGCTTTCTCACTTATTATTAAACTGAGATAATGAAAGACAGTCTTTGCTCCGAGCAACTTGCATGCTAAATAGGAGTTAAATCCCAGTGGGAAGGCTGCTGTGGTGAAAAGTGCAGCGTCCTGCTGGAGCCGCTCACTGGTGTGAATGAGGGTTTATAAGGTCAGGGTATTTATTTAATTTAGTGCTAGAAGAAATACTCTACTAGACAAATGAAAAGAATTGAGTGTTCAGTAGCGCAGCCTTGAAATTGATCCCTGTTACCCTTTAGTGAGCTTTTACAATAATAATTCTTGCAGTTTAAGTGGCTTCACCTGCTTTCCTTTGTTGGCGCATTGTTATGCTGTGAGGTTACAAGTGAGAAGTTATTGATTATGTTAAAGTTTCTCTTTAAAACAGTTGTAAATTTGACATCATAAACGCCTTTCTTCTGTAAGGGTGTGTATAAACAGTCACACCACATACTGATCTGTGTGTTACAAATTTCTTAAACCAGACTACATCTGTCATTCATACCCGCTCTGCAGCCCTGACCTCACTTGCCATGTCTGTCGCGGGTGACTCTGAACACTGAAGTTACTTGTGACTGAAAACTGCAAATACGCCCAGGGCCCAGATTTGAAATCTTTGCACTCGGTTTGGTTACAGCTAGTGTGTTCTAACTTTCCTGGTATTTGTATGTGTGTCTCTGCTGTTAGTCGATGCTTCGAGGCCGAGGAGGCTGCTACAAACACACGTTTTATGGAATTGAGAGCCATCGCTGCATGGAGGCCACGCCGAGCCTGGCTTGTGCAAACAAATGCGTCTTTTGCTGGAGGTAAAATATTGATGCAATTTTACTTTGGGATAAGGGCTCTGCTCCACTCTGTCCCTGAGCTGTTCCTCAAACCTAGGGCAGTGTTACTTGGGTGCCCTTTTCACTTGGAAATGGCAGGAGGAGGGGTTTGGATGGCAGCAGCAGGGCTCCTCCTTCCTGCCTGTACTCCTGCCCTTCTGCCAGCTGCTGAGCCTGTGGGTCAGGGCTGGCAGGAGGTGACTGGGGGGGTGGG